TGCCTCTTTCTGTCCCACTATTTCACACAATTCCATGGACACCCTTAGGTTTTCTCCAACAGAAATTCTTGTCAGTCAGTGCAACGTGAAGCTTCTAAAATCCGGTGCTAGGTGCTCAGGCGCATGAAACTCTTCTCTTGAGTCAAGCTTGCCCAGGCCGAAGGGTGAATCTGTAGGCGTAAATATGAATAAACCAGGGGCAGCTGGATTTCCAGTCGTTTGGTTTCCTGTCTCAAGTCAGTGTTATTCAACAATCTTGGTGGCATTTTGAGGGGCTTTGATGGTGGAAGGAGAAGCATTTCTTCCCATTTTGGAAAATGAGTCCTCAGTTCAGTCTGGGATTAATTTTCCTTGTCAAACTATTTTCAATCAAATGGTATTGTGAAGAAGCCACTGTGAGCTTGTTTAATAACTCCTCTCTTGTGTGTTTGCAGAGTTTTCAACGTTCAGAAAAATATTTCATCCCTTTAAGGAGTCCTGACAAGAAGTTACAGAGGATTAACAGGGACCAGGTTGTAAACTGGAGATGGACCATCCATCATGGAGGAGGGGCTGTTGACAGATTTAGAAGCCCTGCTGTACAGAGGGAGATCCTGTGTACTCCATTTCGGGAGTCAGGATCTTATATCAAGTGAAGACTTCTTGATATATAGTGGAGCAGCTGAGAATTCAGATAGTTAGGGGTAGGGGGAGATGCAGCAAGACATTCACAGGTCAACAGAGGAACATTAAGGAGACAATCAATTCTTTCAACAGGCAGCTGGTAACAGGCTTAGGAAGAATAGCTCAACGCTGAGACTATGTCTCGGGCAATGTGACAGAACATACCCTCAAAATTCTTTGATTCCTTTCCCATTAAGAGACAGAGTCTCATCCCTCCTCCTCACAGACTTGAGGCTACTTTGACCAGTGTAAAGTAGGAGAGAAGTGATGCTGTGCCACTTCTGAAGCTGGGTCACAAAAGCCACTGCTGCTCTGTCTTGTTTGCTGGGACAATGCTTTTGGGTTCTGTAACCAAGGAAGAAGTCTGACTATCCTGTGGCTGCCTTGCTGTGGGGAAGCCAAGCCACATGGAGAGGCCACATGTAGACCATGGGTCTGCAGTCCTAGTCTGTATCAGATGCCAGATATATGAGTGAACAAGCATTCACATGATTCTAAACCCTAGCTGTCGAGTCACCCCAGCCTTTGAGTCTTTTCTGTTGAGGCCCCAGACGTTGTAGCGCAGACATAAGTCATCCTCTCTGTTCTCTGTCCAAATTCCGGATCCACAGAATCTGTGTGCAGAATAAGATGGTTGTGTTAAGCAGCTAAGTTTTGAGGTAATTTATTAATGCAGCAGCAAAAACTGGAAAAAACAATCTGAAAATGATGGAAAATTAAAGCAGATTAGGGGTTAGAGAGTGAGACAGGTGTGGTTGGGGCAGATATTTTGGAAAAGGTGTCAGAAGACTTCTCTGAGGAGCTGACGTTTAACCAGAGAGTTGAATGATGTGGGGATGCAGGCTCACATCTGAGGGGAACAGATCCTAGTCATAGGAAACAGCAAGTGCAAAGGCCCTGAGATGGGGATGAGATATTCAAGAGACAGAAAGATGGCCTATGTGTCTAGAGCTAAGACAGTGAGGTGGGGAGCGATAGGAAAAGAGACAGAGCCACATGAAGGGTTTGTTGACTGTGATAAGGGATTTGGATTTTATTGTAAACCAATGTGAGGTTTTGAACAGGGAAATATTCTCCATGCTCACTCCCTCATTGATTTTATCCAGACTCATGACTTCAAACAGCTTCTATATGCTAATGATTTTTAAATACATATTTCTAGCCCAGACCTCACCTCTGAATTCCAGGTTCTTAATATAGATGCCTACACAGTTCTCCACATGGATTATTAATAGATATTGAAAATGTGATATGTATAAGCTATTAGCTTATTCCCTTCCCCAAGCCTCCTCCTCCCACAGTCTACTCAATGTCATCAAATGGCAACTGCATCCTTCCAGTTGCTCAGGTCGTCTTTGACTCGTTTCTTTCTCTTGCATCCCTATCTTGCATCAGTAAATCCTGTTGGTTCTGCTTCCCATCAATTCTCCCTGCTTCCATCCTCACCTTCTTTCCATCTATTCTCCTGGCACGAAGTGTGGCTGTTGAAAAGTCTGATGACAATCTGACTTTCTTTCCCTTGAAAGTAGCTTGGTCTTTTTGCCTGGATGCCCAAGGGACTTTATGTTTTTCTTTAAAGTCTAGAAATTTTACCAGAATATATTTTGGTATTACTTGTTTTGGGTTGATTTTGACTTTTTATATATTTCTCAAATTTTTGATTAATTTTAGAAGAGTTTTCTTGATTTATCATTTTTAGTTTTTGTTCTGTTCCTTGCTTTGGTTTTCTGTGTTAGAGTCTCCTATTATACAAATGTTGGATCTTCTTTGCCTATCAGCTATATTTGGTACTTTGTCTCAAATCTGTTTTCATTCTTTCTTCATTTCTTTTGATTTAACTTTTTTCTTTCATTTTCTATTTCTCTTAAGGCATAATCTGCTGGATTTATGTGCTCTTACTACTACTGTGATCTGTTTCTACTCACAACACTTCTGACATCAAACGTGGGTTTTCCCACACCAATCAATTCGTCAGTTCTCTATGGACTGGGTGTCCAACAATTGAATTCATTCTGACACTAATTACCTGGAGTTAGTGCAGACCCCACAGCTCAGTCCCACAAAACTGCTTCCCACTCCAGATGCCGATCACAAGTAGTGAGTCCCCAGATTACCCACACTTCTGTCTGATTTGGCTACAAATTGGGGATTCCCATGATCCCCTCCTCGGGTTCAATAATTTGCTATAATGGCTCATGGAATCAAGGGAAACACTTATTTAACAGCCAGATGAAGAGGTACATAAGGCAAGGTCTGCAAGTGTCCTAAGTGCAAGAGCTTCTATCCTTCAGGAGTTTGGGGTGCATCACCTTCCTGGAACATGGATGTGTTCACCAAGCTGGAAGCTCTCTGAACCCCTTCGTTTAGGTTTTTATAGAGATTCTATTACATAGGCGTGATTGATTAAACCATTGGCCATTGGTGATTAACTCAATCCCTAGTCCCCTTCCCCTCCTCAGAGGTTGGGAAGTGGGGCTGAAAGTTCCAATCCTCTAATAATATGATTGATTCCTTTGGTAACCAGCCCTCATCCTGAAGTTATCTAGGGGCCCACCAAGAGCCACCTCATTAGCATAAATTCAGATATGTTTGAAAGGGGCTTAATAAGAATAACAAAAGATGCTCCTCTCACTCCTATCACTCAGGAAATTACAAAGGTTTTAGGAGCTCTACTGGGGATGAAGACCAAATATATGTTTCTTATTGTATCACAATATCACAACTCTGGTTTTTTTTTTTTTTTTTTTTTTGAGGAAGATTAGCCCTGAGCTAACATCCGCTGCTAATCCTCCTCTTTTTTGCTGAGGAAGACTGGCCCTGACCTAACATCTGTGCTCATCTTCTTCTATTTTATATGTGGGATGCCTGCCCCAGCATGGCTTGATAAACAGTGTGTAGGTCCACACCTGGGATCCAAACTGGCGAACCCCAGGCCGCCAAAGTGGAATGTGCAAACTTAACCACTGTGCCACTGGGCTGGCCCCTCTGGTCTCCTTTTTAATTTGATCTAATTTGCTATATGATTAAAAAAACTCCTAATACTTTCCTGAATTCTATCTTTTTACTTCTGAGTTTTCTAGCTCTGATTCATGTCATTCTTTTAGAGTTTTTTGAAATGAGTTGTAGATTTCATTTGTTTTGTGGGCATGTTTCCGGTATGTTTTATGGTCTGTAGGGATGTGATTCTGTGACTTTCACCTTTTTTCCTGAATAACTTTGTCTGTTATTCTTTTGTGTTGAAAATTTTTACATGAAATTAGTTTTTCTGCATCTCTAGAAGATGTCGTTCCACTTGGCTTCTCTAACTTCATTGCTCTAGAGTTTCCTCTTTGGTTGTTTTCATGCAGTGTTCAAGAACATGGTGGCTTACTTTCTGAGGTCTCTACGCTCTGTTCCCCTTACCCTTTTCAGGTGGCCCCTCCATTTGTCTCCTTCCTCTGTCTCAGACTGTTCTAGCCTTTTCAGACAGCAAACCCCTTGAATTCACCCATTACTTGAGTGGGCAAAACCCTTCCAGTTTTAGCTGCTGTTCTCAAATTGGCTGTCTCAGATTTCCGTTGAGTACCTGTTGGGTATTTTGGGATTTTTCAGGGATCATTAGATCCCTGACTCTCTTCATTGCTTCCTCTTGTAAAGATGTTAATACTACTCAGGTCTTGAATCTTGAATCTGTTGGTGGTTTGTCCCCACCCCCTTATGTTTTGGGCATCATGGGGATACTTTGTCAGTTAGTTTTGTGGTACATATTATTCATGAAGTTTTGGTTTTGCTCTTTTGTACTACTTGTACTATCTATTTTTCATAGTGGAATTTGGGAAGGTTCAAAAATTATGCTAGAGGCGTCATCCCAGAATATTCTTCAGTCTGTGTTCAATACATTGTCTAGAAGGGTACTGTTAAAATGTACCTTAGATCATGTCATCACTTTGATAAAAATGCATTAGTGGCTCTCCATGTCACTAGAGCAAATGCCCAAGTCCTTACATTGGCTTATGAGGTGCTATGTAATCTGACTTTCTCCACCTCGCTTCCCTGTTACCTGTCTGAAGTCACCTCCTATTACTCTCCCCCTTCTTATTGTGCCATGGCCACAATGGCCTCTTTATTACTTCTAAAATGTGCCAGGAATGGTTCTACTTCAGGGTTTTTACACTTGCTATTCCCGTTGGTCTTTATTCAAACGTCACTGTCTCATTGACGCCTTCCCTGGCTGCCCTATCTAAAATTGCAACCCTTCCCAACAACACCTTTTCCCTCCACCTTTCCTGCTTCATTTTTTTCTTAGCACTTATCACCACATATTTTGTTTATTAATTCACTTATCACTATATATTTTATTTATTAATTTACTTATTCATTTTTAAAATGTCACTAGAACATAAACTCCATGGAGATGGAAGTTTCTGATCAAAACTAAATTTTTGTTGCATGAGTGGATACATTTCAAATTTCCTCCTGGCTTCACTGTGGAGAATGGCAATGTGCAGGGTGACAGAATTCGAAGGGAGAGACCAATTAGTAGGCTGCTGCAATTACCTAGGCAAGAGATTGTGGTGGAAGTGGGCATAAATAGCTGAATTTGTGATCTACCTTAAAGGTAAACGGAAGACTTGCTAATTATCAACCTTAAGTTGCTAGATGCTGCCTAATTGTTTGATTGATAAACTATTGTAACGTGTGGGCGTGAAAATTACTTTCTGACAGGCTGATCACAGCTCCTGGGCCCTATAAATTCTCAGTTTTTCACAAATAATCTGCCGGGTGCAGTTAGGGGAAATCCAAGAGGACCCAAGGGAATAGATATTTTGGAGGTGGGGATAGGAAAGGTGTTCCAGTAAGAATTTGCTGCATAATAAATCAGCCTAAGGCTTAGTAACTTAACAAAACAAGGATTTATTATTTTTCACGATTTTATGGGTTGACTTGGGCAGTTTCTCTGCTGGTTTTGCCTGGGCTCACTCATGTGACTTAATTCAGCCAGAGGCTCACCTGGGCTAGAAGGTCATCTCAGGATGGCCTCTCTGACAGTCTGGCAGCTGGTGCTGGCGGTCAAGTTGGGGATCTCACTTCTCCTCCATGTGGCCTCCCCTATTCCAGCAGGCTAGCAGCTTCCTCGCATGGTGGCCCCAGGGCAGCAGTTCCAGAGGGCGAAAGTGGAAGCTGCAAGGGCTGGCTTTGGAAGTCACACATTGTTACTTCTGCTAAATTCTGTTGATCAAAGCAAGTTAGAGGCTAGCCCGGATTCAAGGGATAAGGGAAATAGATTTCAATTCTTGATGGGAGTAGTAGCTAAATCATTGCCAGGGGGCGTGCTTACCAAGGTAGGAAGAATTTGTGGCCATATTTTGCAATTCTCAACAGAAAGAAACCAACATTTATTGAGTGTTAACTGTGTTCCGGACACCTTAGGTATAACCCATACTTGATTCTGCTTAATTCTCACAGCAATCCTGTGAGGATGGCCACTGAAGAAATGGAGGCCCTGGGAAAATAAACAGCCTCTCCAAGGACCCAGGACCAGCAAGGGGAAGGTAGGCATTCAAGCGCTGATTTGTCTGACTCTAAAAGCCTGTTTTTTTTTCTTTTTCTCTTTAACTCTGGTACTGGTCATGCATCTGTGGTGTATAGAAGAAGGGTTCGAGTAGTTCTGCCAAGGAGTTTCTTCTTCTCCCCTGCCCTCTTTCTCTCTTTTGCAGATTTAATGAATTCTTCACCTTCTTTGGGGATTTTTTTTTTGGTCACATGCTTAATAGTTAACATTTACTGAGTAGTTACAGTACATGAACCACAGCTTTGCTCATGGCGGACCCTGCTCTCTAAACACAGTGTCCCCAGGTGACCAGGCTGCTCTGGGTTGCTGGATTGGTCAACGATTCACGGTCCCACCCAAGTGAGCCTCCTGTCCCTGGGGTTGTCAAGGCATTCTCTTGGCTGCTGATTCCCACCCCCGTGGAGGCCGTTCTGAGCAGCCAGGAGCTGGGAGCCCTGCTACGCTCCCCCAGATGGCCTGAAGAGTCCTCCTTTGGAACGTACCGGATAATGTCCTGGAGAGTCTGGGACTATAAATCGGCCGCTGGGCAGCCTCCCTGTTGGCTGGGGAGCCAGAGTATACTTGCGTGTGGATTTACCCTCTGGCCTCCATTTCCTGTTTTCTGAGGAGAAAAATGAGCAATGGTGTCTCTTTTCTGGGGAGGAGATGAAGGAGCATTTAACCACACCCTGCTCTGCTCTTTCCCCTTGATCTAGGTGCCCAGTTCTGCTCCAGGCAGAGGTTGCCAATTAGTGAAAGCATATTCGGACGGCAGGTTTCTCGTCTTGTGCTGGCCGCTTACCTTGGTATGGCCTGTGACAGTCTCCAAGACACTTTCACTCGCACGGTCCCACGAGAACCTTGCAAGGTTCCTGCAAGGGAGGCATGGTAGGTGATAATGTTTACATTTCAGACACGAGCAACATGAGGCTGTTGCCTGACTCTTTGTGGCCATTCCGTTAGACCTAGGACTCAAGCCCAGGTCTGTTCACCTTTAAGTCTCACTTTTCTGCCCTCCTACTGAGCCTCTTGATGACCAGGTGAGGGGATGTGGGCATTAGGGAAGAGTCTGGGAGCAGGGAGCAACAGATGGCCTGTGACTCTCCCCAGTATCTACTAGTCACTACCTGGAAGCCAGCAGCTATGATGTAACCACAAGCATTGTTCAGTGATGGCTGCCTTAGTTCTGTGGGTGGGACCGCAGTGCCGGCTGGCTGGGGAATCCCACTGGTGACAACACAGCATCCTTTTGAGCTGACTCGGCAGCAGATGCCCCAGACCAACTCCAAGCCTGACAGCATCTCTGCGAAGCGTGTGAAGGGACAGCAGACGTCAGAGTCCTCCTGTAAATCACCTTCATAAAGGCTCCTTGTGGTTGATTCACCGATGACTCATTTATAATCTGGTTTCAACATCGTGAGTCAAAATGTACCACTTTCATTAAAAATAACATTCACTGGGGTCTAACGGCTTTCTTTTTTCTGTTTTTTACTGTACTGTGTGGTTTCTGGATGGGAAGCTGTCAGATAGCAGGTGAGGTGTTTGGAGGGGCTTGAAGGTAATTACACATGCCTTCACGGGCTCCAACCACTCCAGGATTGGTTGGACACAGAGTATCGAGTACCTACTGTGTGTCCTGCAGCCTTCTGACCTATGAGTGTGTGAGTGCTCAGTGTGAGCCAGTGGGAATGTGTGTGAGAGTGTGCACACTGAGTGCACGATCGAGAGGTGCAAGACAAGATCTCTGTCCTCCAGGAGATTCTAGTCCACACATGAATCTAGGAGAGTCAGAATCACCTGGGACGCTTGTTAGAAATGCAGGTCCCTGGGCTTCACCCCACACCTCTGAGGGTGGGGCCTTGATGAATTGCTCAGGAGAGTTTTAGGCACAGTAAAGTGGCGAGCCTTGACTTTAGGTGTGAGAGATGGGAACTCCCTGTCGGCAGACCCCCTCTGCAAATGGGGGATCGAGAAGGAGCTGGGACTGAGAGAGGCTGACAGAGGAGATGAGAGAGGCTGATGGAGGAGGGGAGAGAGGAGAAGGCAGGGGCCGGGAGTGGAGTGGGGGTATGTCAGCACCAAGAGCGAAGCGGGCCCCTAGAGTCCCCACGGGAACCGTACTAAAACCCCCCTGTGTTACTTGAGACACCCACTCTTTCTGGTTTGGGGACCAAAACTTGGACATCCCCTATTTCGCTGGTGACAAAAACAGTTTAGTGGGCATTCAGCAGGGTAAAAAGCCCTTGCTCTGATCGTATCTTATGTTTTGTGTTCTTTAACGATGTTAGAAGCTTCAGCAGGGAAGACACTGACGAGATACTGTTGAGTCTGACCTGGATGAACATCTCCAGTGCCCCCACCGAAGATCTAGGCAGCTCTCAGGAAACCACCATTTTATTTCAGCCATTTCGCCAATGTTTTTTGTTGGCGTTCTAAAGTTTCGTTACATGAAGACTTTTCCCTCCAAGCCCGGGGGGAAGTTTGACTTGACCCATTTGGGTCACCACCCCCCTCACTCCCTCCTCTGATGAGTCTCCTCGCCAAGGGCTCCTGGTGCCCGGGCTCTGTTAATGGTGGGAAATAAGGTGTGAGGGCCCGGAGGAAGGCTTGGAGTGGGAAGATGGATGATTCATAACAGATGGTTATGGGGGAGCAGGGAGGGCATTGTCATTCAGCATCTATGGCCTGGCCTGGTCCTGCTATCCTACTCCCTTGGTGCTCCCAGCCTCAGTTGGCACAAATGCCCAGCTCGCTACTGGAGCAAACCATGATCCTCACCTCTTTGCCTCAACTCTTCTCCTTCTATATCTCCTCAGCCTATGCCTGAGCCCTCTGTGTCTTTCCATGCCTGCTCTGGTCTGAGGCCTGAACTCCTCCCAGCTTCCCTCCTCTTCTGTGGCTCAGCACACTTCTAGTTGCTTCTAACACCAAGGGACCTCCCAGGATGCTTCTCCAGCCCCAGTCCACATGGCTGCCATTCTTGCTGGGTCCCTCCTCTCCCTGGAAGGTGATCAGACTGTTGGAATGGAACTCTGATGGCTTAGGGAGGGATCTTAGACATTATCTGCCATTTCCTGGTCCTCAGTCACCTCTCCTCATCAGTTAGCTGTATTTTGAGGAAAATGGCCATCTTGAGGTAAAGAGAGGGTCTCCATCCCTGGGGCTCCGTGTTTCACCTGGACTTGAGCATCAGATGATCACCTGGCCCATCACGTCACCTGGCTCATTTTCAGTAAGAAACTCACATCAGCTGAATTAGTTATTGGGGGGTTTGCTGTTGGCTTTGGAGTTGGCTTGGGGAAGGGGCTTTTTTTTAAGAAGAGAGAAGCAACATAGGGTATTGGCTAAGAGTGCAGAAACTGGAGCCAGAGTGCTTGGGTTCAAATCCAGGCTTTGTCTATGAGTGGCTGTGTGACCTTGGGTTAGTGAGTTAACCTCTATGTGCTTTTCTTTTCTTGTTCATAAAATGGGGATGACAAAAATAGTGCCCATCTCTGAGACTTTTTTAGGGGTTAAATTAGTTAATATTTGTGAAGCATGAAGAACAGTGAGGGGTACGTAGTCAGTGCCATGTGGATTTGTTCAAGTTGTTTCCTTCACTTTTACAGAGAACCAAACGGACCCAGAGAGGATGAGTAAGCAGCATGGCCAGCACTTGCACAGGTGTCTTTTCCAGTCACTCCTCTTTGTGGGGACCCTTGATGCCAGCGATATACTACATGACCCAGGCTCTCTCCCATCCATTTAGAGCAAAGACCTCTGCATGGGGTTTTCAGATGTAGGCAGGTCTCTCCCCCGTGGCCCAGCTTTTGGTGAATATCCTCGAACGTGTCTAAAACTCATCTCAACATTCCCCCCTGACCCCAGCTGCTCTTCTCGCCCCATTCCTGAGTTCTGTGAGTTGCCCAGCCAGAAACCAGGGTGCCAGGCTTGACTCCTCCCTCACCCCTGCCCAAAAGCCCACGAACGGTGCCTCCTAGCAGCTCTAGAATTGATCCCCCTGCCTGTACTCTAGTTCAAGCCACTGTTATATCTTCTCCAGACAACTGCAGTAGCGTCCTAATGGATGTAGTGACCTGAATGGTGGCCCTCAAATCTCAGGCCCCCATCCTTGGAACCTGTAATGTTACCTTATATGGGAAAGTTCTTGCAGATGTGATTAAGGACTTAAAAAAATTAAATTGGGGTAAAATACACAATATAATATTTACCATTTTAGTCATTTTTAAGTGTACAGTTCAGTGGCATTGAATGCATTCATGTCATTGTGCAACCATCAGCACCATCCATCTCCAGAACTCTTCATTTTGCAAGCCTGAAATTCTGTACCCTTTAAACTTCCCATTTGTCCCCAATCCCTGCTCCAAAGCCCAGTGACCACCATTCTGCTTTCTATCTCTATGAATTTGGCTACTCTAGGGACCTCATATAAGTGGAATCATACGGTATTTGTGCTTTTGTGACTGGCTTATTTCACTTAGCATAATGTCTTCAAGGTTCATCCATGTTGTAGCATGTGTCAGCATTTCCTTCCTTTTATAGGCTGAATAATATTCCATTGTATGGATATACCACGTTTTGTTTATGTGTTCATCCATCCACCCATTTATGTACGGACACTTGGGTTGCTTCCATCTCTGGCTATTGTGAATAATGCTGCTATGAACATGGGAGTACAAAAGTATGTCCAAGTTCCCACTTTCAATTCTTTTGGGTATATGCCCAGAAGTGGAATTGATGGATCTTATGGTAATGCTATGTTCAATTTTTTGAGGAACCTCCATACTGTTTTCCATAGTGACTGCACCATTTTACATTCCCACCAATAATACAGTAGAGTTTAAAAGGATTTTAAGATGAGGAGATTATCCTAGACTGTCCCAATGGACCCTAAATGCCATCACAAGTGTCTTTATAGGGAAAAGGCAGAGGGAGATTAGAAACATAGGGAAGGTGATATGAAGGTGAAGGCAGAGACTGGAGTGATGGGGCTATAAGCCAATGAATGCTGGCAGCCACCAGAAACTGGAAGAGGCAAGGAGTGGATTCCCCAGTAGAGCCTCTGGAGAGAGCACAGCCCTCCCGCCGCCTTGATTTCAGCCCACTGCGACTGATCTCAAACTTCTGTCCTCCAGCACTGTGAAAGAATAAATAAATTTCTTTTAAGCTACCAAATTTGTGGTAATTTGTTACAGCAGCCTCAGGAAACCGATACACTGTTCTCCCCACATTGAATCTCCCACTCCTCCCACTCAATGCAGTTCCATTGTTTTTTTAAATTGGATCATGTTACTCTTTTGTTTGGATACTTTCGACTGTTTCCCACTGCCCGCGGCGCAGTGACCAACTGCTCCTAAACAAACTGACCTGGCCCTCAGCATAGCTTACTGCCTACCTCTATGGAGGCATCACCTCAACTTCTCCTTTTGCTCTCTGCTTTCATCATACCCATTTTTCCTTGTTCCTCAAACACACCATGCCCCCTCATCTAGCACTTCACAGTGCTGTTCTCCATTGGAATAGCCCCATCCTTGTTTTCTCGTCCCTCATTACCCCAAGTTTGTACAGGGATAACTCCTAATTTTCTGTTGGACCTGAGCTCTCAGCTGGAGCATAAGTCACTCTCTCTGAGGATGCTCTATATGACCTCCAGCAGAAGTTGGCTATGCAAGGCCATGTGGTCCCATAGCTCCTTTGCCCAAGCATCATCACGTGTCTCACCCTCTCTGCAGGTGCTCGTCTGCTTGTCCGTCTTCCCTCCTGGACTGGGAGCCTCGTTTTGGCAGTGACTCTGTGGGACTCACTTCTTGGTCCTCACTGTCTAGCACAGAGCTTGGTCCATGGTGTGCACTAGTGAAAATTTGCTGGCTAAATGGCTGAGCAGATGTGGGAAGGGAAGTGAGGAAAATTTCACTTCGAGACAACAAGAAAGATGTCAGAAGTCACCTTGTATGTTGTCCAAGGTGAGCAGTTCCTTGTATGTACCAGGAAGCATGTGATACCAAGCTGGGTGCCAGGAGTTGGCACCACTGTTGGAGGAGAATCAGGATGCTTCTGGAGCCAAAGAAACTACCCGAGCATTGCTCATCACTGGCCAAGGTTTGCCCTGGAGACATCACACAGATGGTACTGGTTCATCCTGCCCTTGCCTTGAATCTGGGCTTAGCATGTTGTCATCACTCTTGTCTCCCCATCCCCAGTGCAATCCAACACACAAACACACACAATCTTGATTTACAAAGTATTTTTAAAGAAATTAAAAAAAATTTTAATACTGGTAAAATAAGTGTAACATAAATCTTACCATAACCATTTCTAAGTATACAGCTCAGTAGTGTTAAGTACATTCACATTATTGTGCAAACATCATCACCATACATCTCCAGAACTCTTTTCATCTTGCAAGACTGAAACTATGTACCCATTGATCAACAACTCCCCATCCCAGCCCCCCACTCCAGCCCCTCACAGCCACCATTCTACTTTCTGTCTCTATGGATTTGACTACTCTAGGGACCTCATATAAGTGGAATCATACAGTATTTGTCTCGTTGCGACTAGTTCATTTCACTTAGCATAATGTGCTCAAGCTTCATCCATGTTACAACATGTGTCATGTATCAGAATTTCCTTCCTTTTCTTTTTTTTTTTAAAGATTTTATTTTTTTCCTTTTTCTCCCAAAAGCCCCCCTATACATAGCTGTATATTCTTAGTTGTGGGTCCTTCTAGTTGTGGCATGTGGGACGCTGCCTCAGCGTGGTTTGATGAGCAGTGCCATGTCCACGCCCAGGATTCGAACCGATGAAACACTGGGCCACTTGCAGCGGAGTGCACGAACTTAACCACTTGGCCACGGGGCCGGACCCATCCTTCCTTTTTAAGACTGAATAATATTCCATTGTATGGCTATATCACATTTTGTTTATCCATTCACCTGTCAATGGACACTTGAGTTGCTTCCACTTTTTGGCTATTGTGAATAATTCGTTATGAACATGGGTGTACATATATCTCTTTTAGACTCTGCCTCCAATTCTTTTGGATACATACCAGTGTAATTGCTGGATCGTATGGTAATTCTATGTTCAATTTTTGGAGAAATTTTCATACTGTTTTCCGTAATAGCTGTACATTTTACATTCCCACCAAAAGTGAACAATGGTTCCAATTTCCTCACATCACTGACACCCAAAGTTTTGATGGGTTTTGTAGACTTTTACAATATTTCTTGGTGGAGGTCAGAGGGAGGTGGTTACATTCCATGTCATACCACAAATGTTTTTAAAAATGTTCCATACGCATCTCTCTTTCCCTGGGATCCTACTTCCGGTGACAGATGGCTTCTCTTCTGCTCTCTTCCTCACCAACAGGAGCTCTCTGCCAGTCTAATCATCCTTTTCATTATTTATTGTTTCAAAGTATCTTTTTCTGGCTTTTAAAAAAAAGACGTTTTCTTAAGATCAGTTTTAGGTTCACATCAAAATTATGAGAAAGGTACAGATTTTTCCCATATGCCCCCTGTCTCCCTGCCACGTATCCTCCCCCATTATCAACAACCCTCACCAGAGTTGTACATTTGTTACAGCTGATGAGCCTACACTGACTCACCATAACCGCCCAAAGTTCATAGTTTACATTAGGGTTCACTCTTGGTGTTGTGCATTCTATGGCTTTGGGCAAATGTCTAACGACATGTATCCATCATTCTGGTATCACACAGAATATTGTCACTGCCCTAAAAGTCCTCTGTGCAAAAGTGTTTTTTGATTAGGTATTTGCCCATGTAGTTCAACATTAAAAACGTTCACGAGTCTCTCTCCGGGCGGTCCCACAGCCACCCAGCTCCATTCGCCAGAGGCCACCCATGTGTTACTTTCTTGAGTACTTATTTGGAGATATTTGATAAACATAATGTAGGAGAGCAAATTGATGAGGAGTAAAGTGAAGCATGAAATATGAAAGTAATGACAGGTTGGCACCCAAAACAGAACTGAAAGCACACGTACATGGAAAAATCAGATAGGTCTGTTTAACACCACCTGAGCTCATGAGTTGTAATGTAAAGTACACACCTGGTTCTTTGCATGATGTGGATCACAGAAGCACAATGTAGGTTGCACACATCTGGAAGAGAAGCAGTTTGCATCTGAGCAATCACCAAGGCAGGGCCATAAGACTATCTGGGGGGCGGTGGCCCAGGACCCCTAAAGGAGATCTTCAGTAGCTGTCTGGGCAGACTCAACAGAGGGAGCAAAGACAATAGGGGGTTTGGTGTTTGGATAAATATAGAATCCAAGCATGCATATCTGAGACATCTAGGGTACTGCAAACCTGCTTGCTTTCTCACTGATCCGATCCATCATCAATGTGGACATATTAGCTTTAGAAGTGTGGCAGTGCTGCCCCACTTCACTGCCTTGCCTGTTGGTCTCCTTTGGAGGACGGGTTCTGGCCAGTGCAGGCCATTGTGCTTGTGAATATCTGTTCTCCTCTTCTTCACTGGCGCATGGCTAGTCTCTCCATCAAGTGAGGCCATGGACTGGTCTTCACCAATGGAAAGCGAGAGGGAGTGACAGTGCCATCCGGTTCCCTGGAACAGCTTTATTCCGGTGAAGCCAACCACTACTCAGAAAGGACTCTGTTCTCTTTTTTTTCTGTAAAGATTGGCACCTGAGCTAACCTCTGTTGCCAATCTTTTTTTTCCTTCTTCTTCTCCCCAAAGTCCCCCAGGACCTAGTTGTATATTCTAGTTGTAGGTCCTTCTTCTGGTTGTGCCATGTGGGACGCCACCTCAGCACGGCCTGGTGAGTGGTGCTGGGTCTGCGCCCAGGATCCGAACCGGTGAAACCCTGGGCTGCCAATGCGGATCGCATCAACTTAACCACTTGGCCGCGGGGCCGGCCCCAGAAAGGAGTCTGTTCTTAACCTCTATGTTCTGCTGCCTTCTCTTGGTTACCTCTACAAATCATATCCACCATGAAAGAACTGGGATTTATTCTTTATTCCATCATTGACGATATTCAAGAAATGCCCCCACGGGCAATCTCAACACCGCTGGGGCAAGAGCTCCCTTAGTGGAGTTGGACTGTAGCAGGGGTCTGTTTTCGGGCCCTCTCAGATCTCTTTAGAGATACTCTCTCCTCTTCACAGGGATCATGCAGATATTCCTAATTCACATCAGCAGATGGAATGCTAATCCGTGGTAGGTCTTGAGAAATACCAGCAGCATATTCAAATTCAGAATTAAACAAAATTTCACAACCCTGAATTTACATTCTATCACATAAAACCTTCACTAAATATTGACTCCAGCTGGAGGGGGTGGGGTCTGTGTGTTGCCATGCGGTGTGTCTGGTTCAGAGCATCTCTTCCCCTCCATCCCACTCCCACCTCCTGCGCCAGTTCCAGCCTCCTCTCCGCAGCCCTTCCCCATCTGT